CCTGGTGAGTGCTGCAGACAGGAGGCAGTCAGAAATGGGAGCTCTCCCAATGCCATACACACAGCACACAGACACCCAAGTGCATATCCAGAAAGTCAGGTAGATACCACAGACCATGCTTAAAAAGGAGCCATGATTTATTCACTGAAATAAACCTGCTTACACCCCCATTTGACACCTGGACTAATTGAGCCTGCAGAGGTGCTGACTTCCTCAATGTCATAGAGCTCGTTCCAGGCAGAGCCAGGCAGCTGATTTCAGAGGGTCTTTATTTAACCTATTCCAACTCCCTCAGTAACTATGGGAGATGCAGCCACAGTGCTGCACCCACCAGATGCTCAGTAAGCCTCCTTTGTCACTACCATGATGCTTGTTCTGGCTACAGTGGCAAAGTAAGTCCCAATAATCTGACCTGGAGCCCCAAATACTGCATACCTGAGCCCCAGCCCAGGAACCACCTGTACAGATACCCAACTCTGCACAAACACTGCTGCTGTTTTTTAGAGGAGTCGGCCTCAGATGTGAAGGTGGTGGGTGTAAGGGTGTTTAGGCCTGTTGGGAGCAGAGGACTTGACCTCTGGTGGCCTGTCAACCCTCACCCTGAGGCTTTATGATAGTCCAGGGCTCTGTGCCCTGAGCTGTGTCTACCAGGTCATGCTGTGTATTCCTTTGTGGTCCCCGATCTCTGTGTTCTGCCATTAGGAAAGTTTACTGGGTCCTGGCTCTTTGGAGGAGAGCTTGAAAGATCTTAGCAGAAAAGAATGGGATACTTTCTGGGCCTGAGGAGGAGAGGGGGGCAGCAGTTCATGTGGGTGGGCAGCTAGAGCAAGGCCCAGCTCCAGCAGAAATCCATGACCCTGCCTCCTTCCTGCCAAAGTAAAATCCCTCCCATCTCTTGCAGTACCGGGTAGGTACTGGAATGCAACACCCAGTGTTTGGCATTTGGAAGGACCAACATTAGGATTCTTTTGCCTCTCTATGAGGTCTGGAGCCATTCACCTATCCCTGAGCCTCCATGGGCTCCTCTTGTGCCCAGATATCTGTATTTTCAATTATTAAGCAACTCTTGGGAACGTTGTTTTGGCATTTGCATTGCATGATCCAAACTTGAAATGTGAGCTGAGAATGTTTCCAGGTCTGCCTCATGGTGGGTGGCTGTGTGACCATGGGTGAGTTGTCTCTCCTTTGGCCCAAGTTTCCTTATCGGTAAAGCAGAGCAAACTTTCACACTGAGCTCTTTAGGGCCATTGGACCAGTGAGGTGATCAAGCCAGGACTTGGTGAGATTTTGCAGGAGACCCTAGAGCCCTAATCTCTCCACAGAACCTCAAGGCAGATACTGGGTAAGGGTGAACCTGTTTTCTGGATCCTACTGGGCCACACTGCCAGGATCTGTAGGGGATGAGAGTCACTTCCTGAGCCTCTTTCTCCATCAGGTAAATGAACAGAACCTGCCTTCAAGGGGGTAGAGCCAAAGCATGTGAGGCACACAATAGGTGTGCAGGTCGCATCCCCTCCTTGGGGTTCCCACACAAAAGATTTGTTCGTGAATCTGAGAGGCAGTTCATAGGAGAGTCAGATTTCTGGCTTCTCTGGAAATTTGGTAAAACAGACTCCTTCCCATTTGGCTCAGTGATCCTGCCTGTGTCCCTGGGAAGGGTCAAGCAATGGTAATTTTGACCCCTGCCTTAGGGGGATTATATAAGGCTGGCTGATTTACTAACGGCCTCCCAGGGCTGTGAACCCTAAGGTCCTGCATGAGAAGGACCATAGTGACTTCCTGAGACTGTAGGATCTGGGTTGAGAGTCAAACCCAGAGCCAGCCCCCTCCCCCTTACTCTCGCCAAACCCTGCCCCCCTCCAGCAGCCCCTTGGAGATAGACTTCTGCTGTCTGATGTAGCTTGCTAGCCACCAGATGTGTACGGGGGAGGCCTGAGCAGCTCACTGCCAGGGGACAGGTCAGATGAGGCTCAGGAAGTTGTGAGTTCAGTGCCAGAGATGAAGCAGTGTTTTGCTACAGGTGAGTAGAGGATGTTGAGGATATTTTAGACAGACAAAATGGTATTTGGACACTTAGTGTGTTCAAGGTATGTGAGTGGTAGCTGAAAAGTGCTGAGGGGGGCGGAATGGTATTCTCACTGTGTCCCCTCTCAGAGAGCCTCAGGGCCTAACCTGGGTGGGAAGTGAGGCAGGTTATCTTATGGTGTCTGCCTCCCAGTGAAGTTGGACATCATCACACCTAAAATATTGAATCCCTTCAAGCCATAATGGGATTGTGACACGGTTGGGTCATGAAGAGAAAGTCAGGGTGCATCTAGCCCAGAGTTGAGAGAGATGGAGCTCAGTATAGGCTGGACACATCCCAGATTCCTCTAAGAGGGGAGATGAGCGTAGTCTCAAAGCACAGAGAAGAGGAATGAATTGGAAGAGAAAGGACCGCACAGGTAGGGGTCCTAGCTGTGTAAAGGCATGAAGGTTGCAGACCTGGAAAACCACAGGGAGGCTGCGGAGGTGAATCTGTGCAGTTCAGTGGGGGAAGCTTGTTAAGTGCAGGCCAGTAGAGTCTGCAAGTTCTAGCCTGACATTGGCAAGCAGGGTGTGGTCTTAACAGTCAAGGTACTTTCTTTGTGGGAAGGGTTTTCTGGTTGTTTTCACACAGTGGGAAAAATAAAAGATGGGAAGGGATATAGGAGAAGAGAGGGCTGATAAGGAGATGGCATCATCTTGTATACCCCCACTTTTTCTCATGGATAGTTTTAACTGTGATGGGTAAAACTTGGCCTTCCAGGTAACATCTGCAGAGCGCTACATCATGAACTTGATCTCCTGTTCTTAGAGATCTGCTGGGCGAGCCTAGGCACCATCTGCAGTCATTGTGCTGCTGGCCACACAGCCAAAGCGCCCTATCAGATTGTTACTGGTTGAAACAACGCGTCCATGTGTCTAATTCCCCAAACTTCTTTGTGGATTGTTTTCATTGGATACTTATCCTGAAGAGGGATTTATTTCTGACTCTGTGGGAACAGAAAAGGTTTTATGGCTGAAAAGATTTAACACATACACTTTTACAATAATTTTAGAATTTTTAGTAGGTTGTACTGCATAGGTTTTTCTTTTCAAGGAGGAAGCACATATACAATAAAAAAAAAATCTATCCTCCGGACGCAGTGCTCTTTTCAAGTTCTCCCCAGCACAATTGTTAACTAGTTTCCTGTCCTGTAGATCCTTCCAACAATATTTATGTAGGTACTGTATATAGCCAATTTTTAAAAAATGATACATACTGCTAAAATATTCAGCGTCTTGCTTTCAATTTATATTTTTAAAATTGGGATTATGAAATGGATCCAAAGAAGCACCTTTCCCTCTCCTTCCCCCAAAGTCCACCATGTGGGTTTAACCTGTTAACATTTTGCACTGGCATCTGGGAGGTATCCCTGTGTGAGTTCAGCGCCGTTAAGAGAAGTGTGGTTCTCAGTTATATGTATGCATCATTCTTTATTCGGCCTGTTCCAGATCTTGGAAATTTAGGATATTACTGATTTTTCTTCCCTTTTTTGCTTATATAATTGATGCGCAGGTAATACTCCACGAGTGACTGGGGAGGCACTGAGGCAAGGAGAGAAAGGCTCGGATCTGGCTTGGGTTCAGATACCTGCGCAGCCACACTTCCTAGTTGTGTGTGGTGTGTGGGTGGGTAATACCCCTACTGACCCTCTTTACCCATCTGTAAAAGGGACCGGCTGTAGAACTCCTTTCTTTCACAGCCGCTGGGAAAAATACAGCTCAGAACTAAAGATTTCATTGGGTTTAGTGCCCAAGCCCCCGACGCGAGGGACTCTCAGCCCACTAAACGCCCAGAGCACAGGACACCTGCCGCTCAAGCTTCCCAACTGTTCCCCGCGCCTTTCTTTTGCCACGCTGGGGGCGGGGAGCTGAGGTATCTCTTGTGACGCCAGCGCGCACCGGACCAATCCCTCGGCGGAGCACGCGTTAGCTCCTTTGCATGGGTCGCCCGCCATTGGTCCGTTGAGCATCCCTGGGCGTCCCAGCGTTTTAAAGCCGCCGCGTAGTATAAACAAGGTATTGCGGGGCCGCAGGGCCATGATGTCATCGCGGCGCTGTAGCTCTTGGCGCTGACGTCATCTCCAGGAGGTTGCCGCCCTAGGCTGTTAAGAACCATCCTAACCACTCGGGGGGCTTACGAGGCCGCCCCTGCTCCGTCGAAAGTCAGCCCCATTGCACTTAAGTGTACCTGGCGGCGCCCAGGCCCCGAGGAGGAGACGATGACACAGTAAGTCCGGGTTGCGGCTCTCCCGGCGCGACCCATTTCTCCGGCAGGGAAACTGAGCTTTAGAGACGCTAGTGGTTAGCGAGTTTGCAGAGCAAGCTCGAGTTGCAGCCGACGCGTCTTGCGCTCCTTGGGGTCTCCTCTTCAGGTCTAATCATGCGGCCCCGCCCCTTCCCTATGACTGTGGCTGCGGTCACTTTAAGTGAAAGGTAAGGGCGAGATTTTTTTTTTTTAATCTGCTTTCCAAGATGGCGACCTATTCGTCACGTGCCTTGTCGCGGCAAGTGATTGGCTCCTGGGGCTAGGTCGGGCGGGGCCGCCGCGGGCAGCAACCGGCTACTGTTTGCCGGAACTCCCGGCGCGCCCCCGCGAACCTCCCCCTACCCTCCACCCGGCGCGCCCCCGCGAGCTCCCCCTCCCGCCACGCGCGCTACCCCGCCGCTTCGAATGTTGTGAATCAAATGTAGGGTTTGTTACATTCCGCTGCCGCCGCGGACAGTTCTTAAAGGGCCAGCCGCCGGCAGCTGCGCAAGCCCGACCGCGTCCTGCGCCGCCTCCCGCTCCCTGAGGGCCGTGCCGTGAGAGGCTGACCGCGCGTGGGCCTCGCGAGGTAGACGCCGTCCGACGGACAACAAAGAGAAAGGGCCCCGGAAGGAGCCGGCCTGCCCCCCAGATCGGGGGGGGGTGGGGAGGGGAACACTTTGTTTCGCAGGGCGGGGGCTCTTAAAGGGTCCTGGCAGCCACGACCCTCCCCAACACCCCTGCCCAGCTTGGCCGTCTTAGATCGGGAACAAAGGAGTCTACGTGTGGCCTGGCGGCCGAAGGTGAGTCGGGGCCAGAGCCCCCCAACTCTGCATTTCCGCATCCCTGGAAGTCCTGCCTCCTTCCCCTGGGACTGGGGACCTTGGTCTAGCCCCGCAGGGGTTAATCACTGGCGGTCCGGAGGGAGGGGAGCGCGGCGAAACTGCTAGAATCGGGGGGTACACTCCCCCCTCACCCCCGACCGCCTCCAGGGCCCCGGAGAGCCGGACCCGGTCTCCCTGCTCCGGAGGCTGAGAACTGCGGTTGGAGAGGAAGGAGCCGCCCCCCTCCCCCCGCCGCCGCCGCCACTTCCTTTGTTGTTGCTTTTGTCTCACGCCGAGCACATGGTCCGGGCTCCTCGGCTCTTAAAGTCACAGCGTTCTGGCCCCGGCGCCGCAGTCCGGGCTCCCGCCCCCCATGTCGCCCCGAGCGTGAGATGGGGAAGAGGGAGTCGGGCATCTGCATCGCGGGCCCCCATTCCCGGGGACTGGTAGGTGAGGAAATCCCGCAAGCGAAGTCTGGCTCGATTTGAATAGGGGCCTGCCCCATAGGGACACTGGGCTCCTTCCCACTACTACGATAACCTGGTTTCTTCTTGTCTTTTGGCTTTATTTGGACTCTCCGAAAAGGAGAGATTTCCACCCCCACTTAACAGTTGTAGCAACTGAGGCGCACAGAAGGGAAGAGATTTCCTTGACCAAGGTCATCCAGGGAGTCTGGACGGGCCAAGGACTCCTAGGTCTGGACCTGGTGGTCCAGCCCTCCACGGACTCCAGGTTCGGGGAGATCCTCTTGCCCACCAAGCAGTGCTTGCCCTCTTTTGTGACAGAGGGGGTAGGGAAGTGGGGAGGGAAACTTATCTTGCTGGTCTTCTCATGTAGCAAGGGCTGATTGGCAATCAGCAAACATCCCTCAAACCTAGGTGACTTAGGCTAGAACCAGGTAGTTGCTGGGGGCTCTAAAAATAAAAGTTGTCTGCCTCCTGGGGGAGGGAGTGGATACCTGCTTCCGGGCAAGGCTGGGTACCTGAAACCCCAGTTACACAAACCTCATTGAGCGCTCAGCGCTAGAAAGGTGTGGGACATAGAACAGTTGGGGGGAGGGCTCCAGGCCACCCGGGCTTGTTTGACCTTGAGCAGGTTGCTAGCTCCTACTCCGGACTTGAGTTGCTTCTCTTCATAATCAAATTGATCACAGGCACTCTAAAGAGAAAACTTTGAGGGCTTCTTTAGGACCTGAAACAGAGATGGGTTTACAGTTAGGTTGGTTAGGGTTAAGTTAAAGCTTGCACATGAGAGAGCCAATGTTTTGGGAATCTGGGCCTGGAGAGCTAGCCAGGTTTTCCATCCCTCTCTTGAGTTTGTGGCCTACAAGAAGTTACTTTCATTGTCCTCTTGAGTCTTAAGTTTCCTCAGCTGTGAAGCAGATCTGTCCTGTCTGTGCCATCTCTGGTCTTAGGAGGACTAGAAACCTGGGGCTCCTGCCTCCTGGGATATTTTTCAGGATCATATTTCCCTGCTGCCCCCTGCAGGATTTGAAGTGGCACCTGATTTTTTTGCCTGGTAGTTGGGAATGGAGGTCAACCTGTATTATTTTCTAACACTGACAAGTCATCCACACCCAAGTGAATTGACTTTGTTAGTCACCTGCAGGCCCTTTGAGCAGTTTTTGCCTATTCACTGGGAGGTGTCATTGGGTGTTCCTATTTTACAGATGAAGCTGCGACTCTAAGGATGCTGTGCCCCCAAGACTCTGACCTGAAGTCAGGGTGTCATGTGTAAGAATGCAGAGTGGGTGCTGTCACCTTTGGCACCATCACCCACAGCTGCAGGCCCTCGTGTCTGCTGGCCAGGCTCTGGTCTCTTGTCTTTCCTTAAGAGCAGGTACTTTTGAAGGGGCTGGCTCAGAACTGGGTCTGGACTGCCCCCCTGAGCCTTGGCACTGTCCAAGGCCAGTCACCTCACTTCTCTGAGTCTTAGAATCCTGTGTCTGAGAATTGCTGTAAGGTATATGGAGATGGCACAGGGTAAATATCAGTTGTTATTACTGTGCCTGGTCAGTAGAACTAGGGTCTCTGTGATCAGAGCAGAGGTTCGTAGACCTGGCCATGCTGTAGAAGCTGATGGGGAGTTTGGTAAACATCTTCATGCCCTTATTACCCACACCTTCAAAGATTCTGATTCAGAAGGGCCAGGCGTCTGTTTCAGTTAGTGGGGCCTTTTCTGGAGTCTTCCTGGGCCCTTGTTTGGTGGATTGTCCCAGGAATTGGAAGCTGTGTGACAACAATGTGCCCTTGTCCACACCAAGAGTCACAAACCGTGGTGGGCAGGCAGGGAATGGGCCTGAGGTAGTCTGGGGAAGTAGGGAGCAGGGAGAAGGAGGAGCAGAAGTGAGCACCCAGAGGCACCAGATTTCTTTCCGCCTGTGGTTTTTTTGGTTGTTTTTTTTTTTTTTAATCCCTGTGGGGAAAGCCAGATTTTTATGTAATCCCTTTCTAATCATTAGCACTGACTTTGCTGCTGCCAACCTTGGCCTTGAACTTGTAGATCAACTCACCAGTGCATTTAGCACATCAGACCTTCCCTGTGCTGGACACAAGGTGTCTGTGGGCCCTGCCCACCCCTGTGGCAAGTGCCAGAGCCCAGGCTTGGCAGAAGTGTGAATTCCAGCTCTGGCACTTCCTGGCTATGGCCTTGGCCCTGCGCCACCATAACAAGTAGAGAAGTGCCTCCCTTACTGGCTCAGGTAGGGCTGGACCCATGCATGTAAAAGCTGGCACAGAGGAAATGCTTCTTGCTGCTGCTGGTAGGAAGGAACAGGTGTTGGGGGGACAGTCACAGCTCCTTGGCTGTGTCAACAGAGAGGCGACACTTGAAGCTGGGTACAGAGGGTGCATCAGAGTTTGGTTAGACTGAAGTGGCAGGGTGAGGCTTCTGTCAGGAACAGCAAAGGAAAGGACCAGTCCTTCTGATGTGCCCTTCAGCTTTGCAGGGCCTGAGTTCAGAGCTTTCTCACTGGTGCCTCCTCCCCCAACCTCCAGAATTAATGAATGGGCTCCACCTCCCCAGTCCTGGGCCCTAGTTCTTAGCTAAGACCCCGCCCCGCTCCTACTCTACTCAGTCCCCCCCCCCTTAGGTTCTTGCTTCCTTTTTTTTTAAAGATTTATTTACTTGTGCATACAGAACTGGGGTACAGGCCAGAGGCTCAGGGGCGGTGAGAGGCTTCACCAGAGACAGAGTGGGGAGCAGAACAGGCAGATCGACGAAGTACACTGCTGAGGGGAGCAGCGGGCGGGTCAGGAGAGGTCTGGCTCGCCATGTGGTCTCCTCTGGGGCAGGCAGGAATCGAACTCATGCGGAAGCGGCTTTAGATTCTCAGTGCTGTGCTTTAACCCGCTGCGCCACCAGGGAGGGCCTTTGCTTCCTTTTTTTAATTAACAGCCCCACCTCCCTCTTGGGGGCAAAGTTGGGCCTCCAGAGCCAGGGCCTGGCTGTGTGCCTGACCTACCCATCTAGCAGTGATGAACTCACCTCAGCAGCAGCAGGTGCAGTGGGAGACCCTGGTCTCCCAGATTTAACACTTGGACAAGCCTCCGCCTCACTCTAGCCTCAGTTTCCTCTTCTGTGAAATAGAGGTCCTTGAAGAGTAAATGAGGCACACTTGGTAAACAACGGGAATGAGTTCTAGGAAGAAAGAGTACTGATTGGGAGCCCTCAAGGACAGGAACCAGCTTAGAGTCTCCTAGCTGGCAATAACGGGAGGAGAGCTGGGTGCCTTGGGCCTGAACCAAGAAGATGAAGGGAAGGAAGCCAGGGCTCCCCAGCTGCCTGGGGACCCCACTCTAGAACAATGTGACCCATAAGCAAGCTGGCCACTCCTCTGATGACCCCAAGAAAAGATGTGATCCGATTTCACAGAGCAGGAAACTAAAGCCTAAACTCGACAGCCCAAGCCTGTTCTATTAGCCCTGCACCCCAGTGACCAGGGGAAAGCCAGGCTACAGAAGTTTGATTCTGCCTCCCTTCCGGTAACGGGCAAGAGGCTGAACTTCTCTGTGCCTCAGTTTCTTCATTTGTTTTTCTTCCTAGGGTTGGGAGCCCTGGCCCAGCCCCTCCTCCCCTCTGCCACCCCTGATGCGACCATGGGCTCTGGCTGTGACTAGGTGGCCACCCTCTACCCCTGTGGGTCAGTGGAGATTCTCTGCAGGACCTGGCAGCAGTCTGGGCCAGCCCCGAGGAAGGTAGGAAAGAACCTCCCAGTCCTGCAGAGCCCAGAGTCCCAATGCAGGGGCCGTTAGCTTGGGTGGGGTCCGGGGAGCAGAACACAGGGCTTTGAGCTGTCTTCCCTCCCCAGTGGGTAATGACCTTGACTCTTCATGCTCTGTGAGTGAGTGACCCCCCCCTCAGTCCTACTGGGGGGGGTCCTCTCTGTGGTGCAGCCCCGGCCGCGAGGGCCCCCTGGCCGGCCCACCTGCCCAGGATGAGCGCTTACCCTCCCAGCAGCCGCCACCCCAACCGTCACATCTCCCCGTAGAGGAGCACCGAGCCTCGGCTCCTGCCGGCGGGAGCCCCCGAATGCTGCACCCAGCCTCCCAACAGAGCCCGTTCATGGTTGATCTCCACGAGCAGGTAGGCGGGACCCCCACCCCATTGTGCTGGTTCCCCCCCCCCCCGGCTCCCCCCCCAGCTTCTGCAAACCTATCTGAGGAGCAAAGGTGGCAAATCCCAGTTTCCTCTTGCCTAACTCACTGCCTGTTTAGGGAGAGGATATTCGGCCTGTTCTGCAGGTTGGTAAATTGAGTCCAGAGAAGGCCTCTTCCCTGAAACCACATAGCGAATGACTGGTAGGACTGGAAGCCCTCCCAGATCACAAAAGGTCCTGTGAGGCCTGGGGCAGAGGGACAGGGCTTGGGCCTAGGTGGGTTCCAGCTAGAGAACGGAAGCCACCTCAGGGGACTTCTCAACTGAGGCCAAGCTTCCCCCCTGCAGTTCCTCGGGGTCTTTCTCCAACTACAGGTGCACCAGGGACCCGTCCCTCTGTCCTACACAGTCACCACAGTGACGACCCAAGGCTTCCCCTTGCCTGCAGGCCAACACATCCCTGGCTGCAGTGCCCAGCAGCTCCCAGCATGCTCCGTGATGTTCAGTGGGCAGCACTACCCCCTCTGCTGCCTCCCACCCCCGGTGAGTGAGCGCCTCCAGCCAGGTTTTGCACACCCGCCCTGCCTAGCAGACCACTACCTGGTCGCAAGCCTCGGGCCTGCCCAGAACAGACTGTGTCCACCTATAGTGAGAGGGCATTTCCAGTCCAGGGACCTCCCTGAATCCAACACTCACTCACAGTGTGGAGTCAGAACTGTGGGCCTTAACTGCGCAGACCCTGGAGTTGGGGGCTGTCTGAGGGTGGGGGTGGTCCTTTGCCTGATGGAATGCTCCTGACCCATGCCACAAGCACTCAGCCCCAAGCCCGGAGAACTTCAGCCCCGCCCCCCTCTCTTGGCAGCTGATCCAGGCGTGTACCATGCAGCAGCTCCCTGTGCCCTATCAGGCCTACCCCCACCTCATCTCCAGTGACCACTACATCCTGCACCCCCCACCGCCAGCCCCACACCCCCAGCCTGCCCACATGGCACCTCTTGGGCAGTTTGTATCGCTGCAGACCCAGCACCCGCGTATGGTGAGTCCGGGTGATGCTAGAGGGGGTGGCATGGGGAGCCAGGGCCCGGGGGCTTCCCTTGTCACTGACTCCAGGGCGCCCACCCCTGCCTCTTCCAGCCCCTGCAACGGCTAGATAATGATGTGGACCTGCGGGGGGACCAGCACCCCCTGGGGAGCTTCACCTACTCCACCTCTGCCCCGGGCCCAGCCCTGTCCCCGTCCGTGCCCCTGCACTACCTGCCCCACGATCCGCTGCATCAGGAGCTGTCCTTCGGTGTGGTGAGTGCTGCTCCCCTCCCCGTGCCCCAGAGCCCAGGGCCATTGGAGACCGGCTGGCTGCTGACCTGCCCTGGCCCTCCTCTCACAGCCGTATTCCCACATGATGCCACGGAGACTGAGCACCCAGAGATACCGCCTGCAACAGCCACTGCCCCCGCCGCCCCCGCCGCCGCCCCCAACCACCTTATTACCCCAGCTTCCTGCCCTACTTCCTGTAAGTACCAGTCCTTCTGCCCCAGAACCACAGACCTCTACTCCTCGGGCCCTGGTGGTTAGTCTCAAAACACAGCTCCGGGGCTCCCCAAGCCACCTGGCATCCCCACGCATCCACCAGCAGGCTCCCTGCCCTCCTGCAACTCCGAGCAAACAGCAAGGTGCAACATGAGTGGTGCAGAGTTCTGGGCTTTGTTTGCATGGATAGAGCAGCTGTGCACCCCCTGTGCCTCCTGACTTGACCCTGGGCCTCCATACCTGTCTCTCTAGCTCGATGCTGCCAATGTCACCAACAGCAATGGGGCCCACCATCAGTCTGGACCTTGACGTGGATGACGTGGAGATGGAGAACTATGAGGTCCCAGGGAGCCCTTCCTGGGAGGTGGGGACTGGGGGCACTCCAGCCCTGGCACTGCTGACCCTCCCTCCTGCCTGTGTCCAGGCCCTCCTGAACCTGGCAGAGCGGCTAGGAGATGCCAAGCCCCGAGGCCTCACCAAAGCGGACATCGAGCAGCTTCCGTCCTACCGCTTCAACCCAGATGGCCATCAGTCGGAGCAGACACTGTGAGTGCCAGGCTCTGGCGTCTGCCCCCTGTGCTGGGCTGCAATGGGCTCCCTTCTCCAGGGAGACACTGCTTTGTGATGAGCAGCCTTCCCTCGGCCGATGCCACCAGGTGACCCTCTGTGCCTCCGCCCAGGTGTGTCGTCTGCTTCAGTGACTTCGAGGCGCGGCAGCTTCTCCGAGTTCTCCCTTGCAACCACGAATTCCACACCAAATGTGTCGACAAGTGGTTGAAGGTAACGTAACCCCCAGGAGTTCCAAAGGTGTCGGGGAATGGGGGATATCCTGATCCTTGTCCACTCAGGCTCCATTTGGGGGCCAGGTTCTCACAGCCAACAATACAGGACTGGGTAGGGGAGGTGAGTGGAGCCTGATGTTGGCTGTTCCCCCCCAGGCCAACCGGACCTGTCCCATTTGCCGGGCTGATGCCTCCGAGGTGCCCAGGGAGGCTGAGTGAGGCCCCACAACTGTCCAGGAGAACCCTGCCCGAAGCTCTGGAAACGCGGGATCGGGGGGGACCCAGGGAGGATGGGGAGGGAGTGACCCAGGCCTGCCCCATCATCCTTACCTGCATCTCCAGAGCTGGTGCCAGGGTCAGCACCAAGAGAAGCCCCTGCAATAAGCCCCTGCACTTGCCAAGCTCCAAAGACTCCTTCCCCCATCTGCCTGCCAGTCCGCCTGCCACGGAGCTGCCTGAGTGTCCCCCACTCGGTCTCCCTCCTGTTTTCCCTCGGGTCCACCTCTTTCCTGCCAGCACTGGGAGCCAGAGATCCATCCCCCCAGTGCAGCTGGAGGGTCCCTGGCCCCGGGGTGGGCGAAGGGGACACAGTCCTCAGTAGGCTGCGCGCTCGCACCGAAGTGGCATGCCGTCTGCCCAGGTGGCACTGACAGGCGTGTGCAGAGGCCGTCGCGCAAGGCCGTCTCGGGCCCAGGCCCAGGCCCTCCTGCCTTGATCCCAGACAGACTCAGGCAGCCAGCCCAGCCCAGCCCAGGCTGCCGTGAGGGTCGCTCTGGCTCCCAGGAGGACCCTTACCCCAGGCACAACATTCCAGCCCGACCCTCAGGCTGGAGACTGTCAGAGCCAGCCTCCTGAGCACATGGGAGACAGATCCTGAGGGGGCCTGGGCCATGCCAGGGAGACTGATCTTCTGTATTCTAGTGGCCACCCCCTTCTGGTGACAAGGGCCAGACCCATGCCCAATCTCCCCTCTCTGTTGTTTTGCATGAATGTGAGGAGCAGCAGTTTTTGTTTATTCATTTGGCCCAAACTTGTGTGTAGGATTTGGGGGTGTGGATTTTTAAAACAATTTGTTTTCTTTTGGTTTAATGGGGGGAGGGGGCTTAGGGACCAACTAGGACCGAGTACCCAGGGGGCAGGGACTGGTCCTGTGGTGCCGTCTGGTTTGCATGCATGTGCGTGGCTGGGGCTGGACCAGGCGGCTGGCTGGTGGTCGCAGTCGGGGTTGGGGGGCTCTGTGCTCAGCTGATAACTGCCATGCACTGTACTGCACACGTCCCGTCCCCAGAGCCTACCGGGACCGTACGCTTTTCAGGGCATTTACCCCTCTCCAGCCAGGGCCTGTCTCCCACCTGCCTGGGTGAGTCTCCTCCAAGGAAGTCCCAAGAGGACAGGGACCAGGGAGGGCATGGACCCCACCTCCGGGGATCCCCTCCCAGCCTGAACCCTGCCCTCCAGGCCTGGAGGGGCCCCTGTAGGGTCTGGCTGAGCTCCCTCTTCCTCCCTGGTCCTACTCCTGGCCTTTCCTATCCCCAGCTGGGGTTGCTGCCCTGAACGAACCGCGTGTGGGGCCGGCACATCCTAGCAGGCAGCCCCTGGCGCCTGCTGCCTCAGGGATGCTCCAACCACCCTCGTTCTCCCGTAGCGCCCTGGCTCCCTGCCTCTTCCTAGCCTGCCGTGGGGCCCAATCAGCCTGGCCCCACCCCCACGGAGAACCCAAAGTCTTACTGTATATAACTCCAGGTGACGTTTCTATATTTATAGCAGTGTTGAAACCCCACGTGTTTTACACAGAACTACCCTCTCCAACCCCCTCCCTCTCCCACCCCAACAAAAGGTTTTCAAAACCCTTACGGTTCCTGGGGCAGGCGGAAACAGGCTCACGGACTGCGTGTCGGCTGCAGCCATGGTTCCAACGAGCAGCTATGGGGGGAAACACAACATTTAAAAAATCATTAAAAAAAGATTTATGAAACAATTACTTAGGATGTTTGTGATTTGCCGACCTTGCTATAGATGCCATGTTACCAATGATTTCCTGTGGTGGGGGCTTGTCATTGTTTACTCTTTTATTTACCAACTTCTGGCCTAGGCATGACAGTGGACACCATCCCCCAGCCTTGGCTGGGCCCAGTACCTGTGTTCTGTGTTAGAAAGGTTTTATATCTATATAATTACATATATATATGTGTGTGTATATATATGTAATTTTGGGGGGGCCCTGTTCCTTGCACATTTTACAGTTACCTCATTTTTTCCCATGTATGTATTTGAGAAAATGCTAATATATATAGAAAAAAAAGGTTCTTAAAGCTTAAATGTGTGGTTTTTTCCATTCCATTGGATTCACATTGGTTTGTAGCATTTAACATAACTAGTATGTTGTATTATATATATGTGTATACTGATTGAAATTTTTAACAGATTTGTACTTTTTTTAAAATGAAAGTTGCTAGTTCTGCTTGACCAAGTAGTGCAATCATTATTTTTTTTAATATTGTTGCTGATTTCAGAGGGATATTCACTAATAAATGTATGACGTATATCAAGTATTGCCCAAGCTGCCTCTGGCTGCCTGTGTTCATTTCGGGGGGGGGAGGGGTAGTGGGCGGTGGGAGTGACTCTGAGAGTGGGTAGGGGTCAGGATGAGGTAGGTAGAAGTCCTGCTGTGGTTCTTCAGGGGAAATGAGAGCTACCAAGTGATAGCTGATACTAGCCGCCTGCAAGTGAGGGTTCTGTCAGCATCACACAGAGTCCCAACATACTAGTTTGATGTCAGCCTCACTTGGTGCCATGCAGTTGAGTTCTGGAGATGGATACGTGCTTCAGACAACCTGGACAAGGCTCAGGTGTGTCTTGAATGATAAAGGGTTCTTCTGTGATGTTCCTAGTGTCAGTTTTATCTTTTTCCATCATCTCCATGGGAAAACCAAATTTTCCCTGAGAATTCTGTTTCTGGCTAATGTCTGTTCTAGCCATATCAAAGATGATGGACATCCTCCCTCCAAGTCAGAACAAAGCATATCATACTCAACATACTGGAAGCCCAAGCCAGCACATAAAACAAGAAAAAGGAGATGGACATGTAGATTGAGAAGGAAGAAATAAGCCGTTCCTACTTGTAGATGTTATGATCAAAGTATATGTGGAAAATCCCAAGGAATCTACAAAAAATAACCAGTTCATCCGTTCACAGACCACAAGATTAATATACAAAACTAATTGTATTTTATATACTAACATCCGTGGAAGTCAAACGAGTACAGTTAATTAAAAACATGGAGGTCCTCCCTGGTGGGGTAACAGGTTAGGTCACAGAACGACGAAGCTGTCTGCAGTCAATGCAGCACAAGTGCAGTCCCCAGGCAGGGAGGTGTTTTCACCCACATGGCGTGGCAGACCTCTCCTGTCTTTCTGTTACCCTCAGCAGTGTATTTCAGTCAGTCCACCTATTCTGCTCCCGACTGGTGGAACCCCCCCCCCACACACACACACACACTTCTGACCTACATCCCAGCTCTTGCATGCATAAATAAATAAACCTTTAAAAAAAATAAAGTGAGGAATTGCTGTGCATCAGTGTTTACTGGCAGAGGGATATACAAGAGCAATGGAAGAGAATAAAGACTCCAGAAAAAGACCTGCATGAGCCAATTGATACTCATTCATTGAAGGGATAATGTTTCCAACAGAACATGGGAGTAGCTAGACATCCATAAGAGAAAAAACGGTAAATAATTTTTTTAAAAAGATTTATTTATCCATACAGAACTGGGGTACAGGCCAGAGGTGCAGGGGTGGTGAAAGGATCCACCAGAGACAGAGTGGGGAGCAGAACAGGCAGATTTACGAAGTACACTGCTGAGGGAAGGAGCGGGTGGGTCAGGCGAGGTCTGCCACCATGTGGCTCACCTGGGCAGGCGGGGATAGAACTCATGCGGAAGTGGTTCTAGCTTCTTAGTGCAGTGCTTTAACCCGCTGCACCACCAGGGAGGGCCCAGAAAAATAGTAAATAATTTAAAAAAGGAATCGGGCCTCCCTATTGACACAAGGTTTTAAAGTGCAGCACTATAAATCTATCCATGACCATTGCAGCACGAGTTCGATCCCTGGCCAGGGAGCTGACCCATATGGCACAACAGACCTCTCCTGTCTCCCCTCACCATGTATGTTTTCAGTAGGCCCATCTGTTCTGCTCCCCCTTCTGTCTCTGGTGAATACTCTCATCCCCTAACCTCTGGCCTATATACACCCAGTTCTACAAATAAATCTAAGAAAATAAAAATTAAAAAAGGAATCTTGACTAATACACAAAAAATGTGCTCAAAATGCTTTATTGATTTAAAAGTGGAGCCAGAATAGCAAGAAAGTGAAAACTCTCAGGATTTAGAGCTAGGTGATGCGTTCTTAAACATGACACCCAAAACAATCCAAAACGAAAAAAGTTAATAACTTCAAAATTAAATTTATAAATCACATACCTGAAAAGATTCATAGCTAAATATGGGGAACTCTCAAAACTCAACGACAAAATGGAATTAGAACATGAGCAAAAGATAGCCCTCCCTGGTTGGTGTAACAGGTTGTAGCACAGCACTATGAAGCTAGTCATAGCCGCTTCAGCAAGACCTCTCCTGACCCGCCTGCTGCTCCCCTCAGCAGTGTAGTTCAGTCAGTCTGCCTGTTGTGCTCCCCACTCTGTCTCTGGTGAATCCTCTTACCACCCCTGCACCTCTGGGCTGTACCCCAGTTCTGAATGCATAAATAAATCTTAAAAAAAAAAAAAAAACAGCAACATGTCACATGTTCAACACAATTAACCACTGGGGAAATGAAAATTAAACCACAAAAAGATTACTGCAAACCTATTAAAACAACTAAAATGAATGAGTTAGTGGGAGTTCCACTCTGCCATCGATGTGTCTGAGAAGAGCCCCAGGCCAGTCCACCCTATCAGTCATCCCAGACACAGGCATTACCTTCCATGTGCACTGGTTGCTCCCAGAAAACCAAAGGGTCCTTTATTTTCAAAGTAAGCTCAGAATGGTTGATTCAGACATTCCCGGGATTTGTACCCTCTTAAATCCCAGTAAATCATGACAGGAGTAAAAGCCCCAGTGGATGGCAAATTGGCTGTCCTTGAAAAGCTGCAGCAACCTCTGCTTGGCCTCTGCTCAACTTCACCATGGGGACAGCCTGGCAGTTTCTTATGAAACTGAACAAGCACTTAAGACGGCTGCACACCCTGGCATATATTCCAGAAATGAAAGCATGCCCACACAAAGTCATACTCAACTATTCATAGTTCTTGATGTGTAATAGTCCCAAACTGGGAGGAAACCCAGCACCTTCAGTGAATAAATGGTTAAACAAATTGCAGTACTTGCCAGATCTTGGAATGCTACTTAAAACAAAGAAGGAAGGAACTATTGCTACATCCAGGGACCTAGGTGGAACTCACTCCAGGGATCTATGCTGAATGAAAAAAGACACAAGGAGACAGAGAACTCCATTTACATAACATTACTGAAATCACATTAGAAAATAGATTGGGGGTTATCAAGGGTTAGGGAGGGGCTCAAAGGAGAGGAAGATAAAAGTGTAGCTGGAGGAAGGTGTCTACAGTGGTGCAACAGTTCCCTGTCCTGATTTTGACATGGTTACAAGTTTACAGGTAATGAAATTGACAGAACTACAAGCAACCAGACACAATGCTATTGGTGAGCTCTGTTTTCTGGTTTTAGCTAAGGTGTCACCATTGAAAGAAATGGAAATGCTTTTTCAACTTCCTGTATATTTATTTATTTCAAGATAAAAAGTCATTTTTAAAAAGATTTATTTATTTATGCCCTAAAAGAACTGGGGGGTAGGCCAGAGGTGGGGTTCGGGTGAGAGGATTCACCAGAGGCAGAGTACGGAGCAGAACAGGTGGACTGACTGAAATACACTGCTGGGGGAGCAGCAGGTGAGCCAGGAGACAGGAGACAGGAGTGGTCTGCCATCCCATGTGGGTTAGCTCCCTGGCCAGGGACAGAACTCATATGTCGCAGTGGCCACCAATAGCTTGATAGGGCTGGTTCTTTAACCCCTGCACCAGCAGGGAGGCCCTAAAAAGTTATTTTGTTAAAGCCTGTGAGAAATTGGGTATACACCCAATGTTACGAATCAGATAAAAAATCCCCTCTGTGCTGCTGTGGTTCTGTTTTAAGGTGTGGCAGTGAGGTCTGTGGAGGCCATTCTGGTTATCTCTTTTTTGTCAGAAGTTCTGCCTACCAGTGCCTGACTTTGGTGGTCATTTATTTATTTATTTATCATTTATGCACACAGAACAGGGGTACAGGCCAGAGGAGCAGGGGGGTGAGAGGCTTTACCAGAGACAGAATGGGGAGCAGAACAGGCAGATCGACAAAGTACACTGCTGAGGGGAGCAGAGGGTGAGACAGGAGAGGTCTACTGCGCCTTGTGGGTCACCTCGGGGTGGGGGGGCGGTGTGGGGGGGTGGGGATGGAACTCGCACTGAGACAGCTGTGGCCAGCTGGCAGTGCTTCGCCTTAACCAGTTTCTACACCAGGGAGGGCCCATGTGGGCCATTTTTTTAATGAATGTATTGGCTGTAAATCTTGTCTTTGACAGCAGCTGATATAGTTAGCAGCATCTTTCCAGGGGGTACACACTACTAGTTATTCTTGGAGGGAGAAGGTTGGAGTTTGCTCATGCCTTTGGTTCCAATGCCCCAAACTCCTTCTGTGGACTGACAGAATGAGTTTGGGCAGGAGCATAGTGGGATGCTGGAGAGAAGGTGGAGATCTCCAAGTGGAGATCTTCAATATCTCTGTGTTTCCATGTGGAGGTACCAAGACTCAGGGAGGCCCCAAGTGAGAGAATCAGGGCAGCCATGTTGTCCTGCACCCTTTGGGAAAGTCCAAAGAGAAGCGCCTTTCAGTCTGTGCTCCCCAGACCTCCTGGCTCCAGGCGAACCCTCCAACCTCCACCCTGCCACCCACAACTTCCTGAAAGCAATAGGAAGTGAAGGGCCTCTGTCCCTTGTAAGGAGTCCAGGGGGCCGGTAATCACAGAAGGATCTTTTTCATGGTTGGGGGGACTGAAGTCAGACTGATTTAGGTCTGAAGAGAAACCTCTTGTCTTTTCAGTGAAGGTGGGCAATGTCAAGCAAATGGGTGTCTGTGTCCTCCCCATCTCTCGCTTCTCCAGGGGAGGTCAGAGGCCAGGGAAGAACAGTCACCCAGTCTGGCCTGGCTCATGTCAGCTCCTGCCTCTCCTCCCTCCCTCCCAGATCCCGTCAGAGTCCTGTGGGTTGCCTTGTGTTGGTGCCCACTGTTTCCTCTTTTTAGAAAGATTCTCCCATCTCACGAGTGCCCACTACATGCCCATCATCCCTCATGGTGTCCGCCTGCTGATTTCTTGACTGTAGAACAGACTACTGTCTTCATGGTTCCCACGGAGGAAACTGAAGACAGACTGAGAGGCAGGAGGCCGGGTGCCGTCCGTAACTTGTCCTTGCATCAAGCTGTTGCCACTCAGCAAGCGTGCTAT